TGCATCTACTGTCCTTTTATTTCTCTTTCAAACTAATTGCAGCAGTCAAAAGTATTTTTTTGTCGAAGGCTGCCATGACTCATTTACCGACAAGAGACGACGGATACAGCAATTACGCTCACGAGTTATCTGTTGGACGATACGGCGTCCCTTTGCACATGATGGGTCGGATTTGTGGCTGGTTAATTGACGATAACGGATTGTATTTTGAATTAATTGATGATAATGGAGTACTTTTTTAATGAATTGACGACAACAAATTTGTAGTCAATTAATCGACAATAGTGGCGTGTCAGATTAGTTGTTGATTACTTGACGATAACGGATTGTTTTTCGAATAATTGACGATAACGAATTTTTATTTTTGTTTCAATTAATTGATGACAATAGATTTGTCGTCAATTAATTGATGGTGACGGCAGGTTGGGATCGTTGTTAATTAATTAACGATAACGGGTTGACGATAATGGATTTTTTTTCAATTAATTGACGACAATAAATTTGTGATCAATCAATCGACAATAAAGGCGGGGTCGGATTCGTTTTTAATTAATTGATGATAATGGATTGTTTTTCTCAATTAATTGACGACAAAAGCTTTGTGGTCAATTAATTGACAATACCGGCGGGTCTGATTCGTTCTTAATTAATTGACGACAATGTTTATTTCTATGCCGTCATTTTCCAACATTCGTTCACAACGTTTGTTTTGCAAGGTAATTGTCCATTTCTCTTTTTCATCTTACCATAGTTTTATGTGAAATATTCTGTTATCCTTGTCGCAAGAGGTTTGCAACTTCTTGACGTACATCCGGGGAAGCTCACAATTGATCAGCAACTCGAACCATGTTGAAGAGAAGCTAAAGCTAGGTTTGAGACCGCAATGAGTTGATAAAGCCGGCCATTCACTTCACATAGCTATGGAGTCCAAACGGGCGACGTTAGTAGGCTCGAAGATGAGTATCGACATTAGGGTCAAGAGGCAAAGCGTGTTGGATTAGATGTACAATTGAAGACATGTGCAAGAGCTTGGGCAGATAACTATGCGACTGCATAGCTGCCCAAGCTATACGGTCGCATAGCGGTAGGCAGAGAATTTCAGTCAGCGATAACACACTTCCATACGACCGCACGTAAAAGTAATATGCAGTCAAGAATTTTCCTTCTCCCATGAGTTGTTTGTTGTCGTCAACACTCTTGCTTTCAGCAACTTTTATATGTTTAAGAATTTTAATTCCATCTTCACTTAGGTCTTGAATTCAATCGTTGAGCCATTCCCATCATGGACGCCCGTGTTGGTCCTGAATGGGCAATCGACTATTACAATTTTGCAAACAAATATTTCACCTTTCAAACATGGAAACAACTCAAGCATTAAACATTATGTCATCGTACAACGCCAACAAAGACATCTATTCATTTTCATGCGTTCATATATATTAGCAGACATGCGACGAACGTGACTTCCTTCCAAATAATGTCATCATTGTTGTTGTGCCATGTAATCTCGAAGTCTGTCCCACTCAAATCGTTGCATTTTTGGTACGTTCATTTCAGCATGCACTTCGTCTCATCCTTCGATTCCGCTCTGCGAAATGCTTTGTTCACAACTCCAGAAACTACGTAGGAAATTATGAACATCCATTGTCACAATGACAACTGCAACTGGTCTAGAAAAAGAGTAGCTCGGCATGCGGTCTAGTATTTTATATTTCTGCTTCTATACACTGAAGGCACGTTCGATGACGTTTCTGCAAGAGAAGTGTTTGAAATTAAACCTCTCGTGAGCATTCCAAAACTTGCAACGACGGCTAGTTCGTTCATCGTGAAACTGCTGAAAATGGTATATTATATCTAACCCTTTTGTATGGGGCCATATATCTCGGTCGATAAGCAAAATCAGAGTCAACCAAATAATATTTACCTGATGCCGATCGTGGGAAATTTATTTGCGGATCGTGTATAGCACGAGCAAGCATTCGAGCGTCATGTGTATTTCTGATGTAGCCAACAAGCACAAGTGTGAAATATAAATTAAAATCACATGTGGCCAACACATTTTGGGTCAGTATTTTATGAAGTTCAGACGCTCCTGCCGAGGGAGCACAGCTTCCACATGCGTTGCATCGATAGTACCAATGCAATCCTGAAATAGTGATGCTTAGACAAGTCTGACTTGTAGGGCTCGACACTATTGTTGCTTGTAGGGCTCGACACTATCGTTATAATTCAGACTCCGACGTACAAGATGTGTCGATAGCACGACGATGGCACGGAGCACCTCCTTGAAATAGTGACACTCTGTTTGCAACGAGTGATTAAATATCACCATCACTAGCCAGTATCCATTTCCATCCGCTAATATGCACATGAACATTCCAATTTTCTCATTTATGTCGATCTGCTGGCTAGTGCACAGTCTGTATTCGTCACATAGAATATGTGCAAATTGGCACAGCGTTTACGGGTACATGCAAAATTCTTGATAGCACAGTTGTCCGTTCTAGCTCATAGCCTTTATCATGAACATATGGCCATTCCTGAACAACGAAAATCTTCTTACACGGCTCCATTGTCTGCGATAGTAGATCCTCGTGTCACTATCTACGATTCTGCAATAGCTATGCCATGCTATCATGTCGTCAGCCAGTTGATTAAAGAACTCCTTCCCTAGTTCTTATTCTGCGTCGGAAATTGAAAGTAGCACGTAGTTGAAGTTCAGATCGTCCATTGTTCCGCAGAAGTTGTGAAATAAGATTGTATTTCCGATCAAATTCTTTGGTTCTCATAGAATGAAGTTGTTCAAGTGAATTGCAACTTCATTAACTTGTATGCTTGAAACCTTGAATTTATACACCAAATCGCACGGTTTGTATAGTAATAAGAGTCTCTTGAGAATCTTCGCAGAGTGTTGTCCAAATAAAGATTGAGAAATGATTGGATGCATGACTCTAGAGACATGACATGCTTTGTTGGCAATTATTTCACTTTTCTCACTCTCTGTATAGTACCTAAACACTTTATGCATGCTTTTATTTAGTAATTACAAAAGATTCTAACATACATGTCCCATTCCTGATCAAAAATTGACCCATACAGCAGGAAGAAAACATGTATTCACATACACACAACTCAATAAAAGTTTACAACACGTAGGAAAGACAAAAGAAGCAACATATGTTTTGGGTGGAAAAGGAGCTATTACACTAGCAGACAGGGAACATAAAAATCCTAATGGAACAATTTGTTACGCTCGTTAAACTGTCACTCAATCCATTCAAATTTCTCATCAGTGTCTTTCATGACATTGAGCATATCCCACTAACGTTTCTGTACCAGCAGCGTGCAGGCGTAGAAGTACAAAGGCGTTTGACTCAGGAGCCATCTCGTTGTAAGCAACTCTTCGACACATGCAACACTGGAGTTCTTGTTCAGAGATGGTATTGATCTTTGCCACCATTTCCTTGGCTGCACTAGTTGCCCGATTGATAGAGAATGACAACTCCCGCGCTGGATTTTTCTTGGTTTTTCCCTTTTGCCTGGTTCTGGAGGTTTTTCGTTTCTCGTCGCTATTGGACGTGGACACGTTCATGGTTGCTGTACCGATTCCTACACGTTCCTCACGGCTGGAACTGCTACCCTCATCATCGACAGGGATTGCATCTATATGGTCCTCTTGCCACTGTCTTTGAACATGTGGAAGCCCGTTCGACATAACTTCATTGAGGTGACTGCATACTTGTCCCTGTCAAAGCTGTCGCCAAATAGTGGATGATAGCGAATGTAAATGTTGCTCACATCTTTGTCCTTAAACTCCTCGTACTCCTTGTTCTCCTACAAGAACGATTGAAAACTGTCAAGAGGTTCAGTCCGATGTATGAAACAGATGATGTTGTTTGTTGTTTTCTAAACACCAAACACAATGTTGAAAAGGTAATGACAATCTAGCAAGCTTTTCCCGATATACATTTATGTCAACAGCAAACACAATGTAAATGTTGCTCACATCTTTGTCCTTAAACTCCTCGTACTCCTTGTTCTCCTACAAGAACGATTGAAAACTGTCAAGAGGTTCAGTCCGATGTATGAAACAGATGATGTTGTTTGTTGTTTTCTAAACACCAAACACAATGTTGAAAAGGTAATGACAATCTAGCAAGCTTTTCCCGATATACATTTATGTCAACAGCAACCAAAATGTGGATTAAGCCTTGTGATTTGAGGCTGAGTTAGAAGATTTGAGTGTAATTCTTAATGAATGCTCAATGGTGAATTAAGTGTTTGAAGTGATCGCTGAACCCTCTGAGACTTAAATCTTGTCTTGTTTACTATTATGCTTTAAATCTTATGCTCTTGGTGCTATTGAGACCAATACTAGGACCAACAATGGTATCAGAACCGATTAAGACCAATTTGGTCTCGATCTACCATTTGTAACTCTCCAATTCTTAATGAACCCTATATCTATAAGACTCTAACGGTCTATTGATATTCTTCAATAAACTTCTCTAATTTGAATCTTTATTGTGATCTCTAGTATGTTTGTATGTTTTCTTTTTGAATCTCAATTCTGATAACTATTCTCTTACCCTCTTTAGAAACTTTCCACTATTAAACCAACGATTCATATAGTCTCCTCTATAACCCTCCTATATCTTTGTTTAAGATTCCCCAAAAAAATATATATATAAAATCCTAGAATATGAAGTAATAATGACACAATCAAAGGAAGGGTCAAGTAAAAATTGATTGATCCTTGGTGTTGAAATATTTTGCTGCTTGTGTACAATATTCTGTACGACTAGGTAAAATTTTATATGAAATGTGATATAGAAGAATATACATCTGAAATAATTGTGACAAAACTCTAAACTGTTAAAGCTGTGTGTTGAAATATCTTCAAGATTCTGATTTGTAAGATCTGCAAGTAAAATTTTTGTATATCTACCCTTTTTCGAACTCAACACAATGCTAAAACATAGATTCAATTCAATGAAAACCCTTGTAAAGTAAATCACATTCATACACAAATATAAGTCACAATACAATAACCATCAGATGAAAGGAACAACATAAAAACAAATTTATCTACTGTAATAGAATTCCTACCACTTTACATTTCAGTGATTCAATTTCCCTCCCTTGATCTACTTCAAATAAACTCTAAAATAATCCTCTAAGAAATAGAGTATCTTCTCTGTCTTGAAGTGGATTTTGTCTCCCCTTGAATCAATGAAGTTGGGCTTTGAGAACTCCCTGAAGTATCAGAACTCTTAATCTCTCCATTTCCATGTCCTTTTCCCACAATCCAAAGCTTATCAAAAATTTTCCTCGACCGAGATGGCAGCAGTTGCACGGGATCTCTGCTTTTACTACCCGTTTTCGTCAACTTTCCATTTTTCTGCAATTCATCTTCTTTTATTTTCATGTCGTCCATCTGTTTCCTCAGGGATTTACGGGGTTCTGGCACTATTTCAGCTAGATTTTCCTCCGTGTTTCTTGAGGCATCCAATGCATCAGCATCAGTACTGTTGTTTACGGATTGGATTCCAGCAGCCGATTTAACCTGCTCGAAAAATAAGACTTGAACAACAACACGAAGAGGTAGCTTTTCGTTTTGTACAGCGTGCATTGATGCATCCGTCGTCAATTTCTTAATGTCCATAAGCCCGCACAATTTCTTCCGTTCGGCTTTTGTAAGATTAGGATGTTCCTGCAAATATTAAGCAACAAATTAAATCTTTAAACATTCTTTTTTCGACCTCGAAAGATACATTTGTTCAAAATATTCTCAAATGCAATCACAACCCCTTGCAGATCCGGCTTAAAACAACCATGTACAAACACATCTGCCAAGACTGGTGATCTTTGACAACTGAATAGTCAAATTATGTGATCTGATGACTTGTTTAGGATGAAGTAGATAGCACTGAACAGTATGAAGCAACAAAATAAAAAAAGAAAAAGAAACTAAAATCTTGTCATTTACTCTCCAGTCGTAACCAATATTGTGTAAGAAATAATGTCCTAAAATTTGTGTGAATGAAAAGAACACAATGAACTTATAATTATTGCAATTCTCATAATACGACTAGAATAGAGAAAACATATAGCAAGGATAAGAAGATCCCTACCTTCAAATAGACATCAATGGCACCGTAAATTCCATCATGAATTGGTCTGGCTGACTCAGGGATTGACTGTGATAGCTCAATAAAACTCGAGACCGAGAGATTTATATCACGAGCAATTTCCGCAAGATAACCATCAACAACTTTTCCGACGTTCAACCAGGAACCATGCCCGAATAGGCAAAAAATACTATTTTAAATTAAATTAACTCCCCATAAAAAAAAATGAAAAAACAGAGCAAGTGACAGATAATTTAACCTAATTAATTTAAACTAAATTAATCTCCATGTAATGAATACAGAAAATAAGTTATGAAAATTAATGTATCAAGAATCTCTTACAGGAATTAATGTGTTTCACAATTCAATATGATCAGTAAGGTAATTATACCGAAAAGCAAAAACATGCAGTTCCTTAACCAGGGATAAATATCTCAAGTTCAGAAATGTCAATAAACGAAACAATTTGAGAAATAAATTTATTAGAACTTGTTCACTGCACAAATGGTTTGATAGAATATACCTTGTGAAGATGAAACTTAACTTCACCAACAATTACGATAACATCTGTAGCCAGGTCAGATGACACATACCTGCCACAAGACAACTGACTTTTAGGGACATTAACATTCAAGCATATGGTTATTTAATTTAGAAAGTACCATTAATTTGCAGCAGAGCAAGCAAAAAGTTACTATGATGAAATGTTCATGTCCACCCTCAAAAGTCAAAACCATCAATTGCCCAACAAATGGTGAAATAAATACAGTTTAGACTAACTTGGACATGGACGAAATATCCGCCGGCATCGAGTTACTATAGTATCAGAAGTGCGTAAATCAATGCAAGCATTATCAAACTGTACCTCTAGCAAACGCTGAAAATACATTATACCAATAGATATTTAACAGATTTCTTTCACTTTTAGTTACTAAAAAATTTCTTTCACTTTAGGTGATTAAACGGTTGAGCTTAAATGAATTGGGAATTCAATAAATTGATGCAAATCTCTTGAATATTAGTAAGCAAATATTTGAACCAATGCATACATTTTTAAAATACATGCTTCCAATTGGAGATATTGTGCCTTGGTCATCTCAATCATAGGCAAATAGCAGTCCCGACACCTAAATCGACACAACTAGACGTATATGTATTCACAAAAGGCAAGGATACTTGGTCTAATAAGAAAGAGTACTGAACAAAGAATTCAAGCCAGTTGTGTTCTTTCACACTAACTATCTTAAAGATGCAATAATTCTCTTTTTAAAAAAATAAATAAATAACAGTAGAGAAAAACTTTTATGGACATGCAAATTAATATTTATCTTCTTTTCAGCTAATGATTCAATCGTGAGGCAAAACAATGTATATTATAAGAGAAAATCAGTAAGCCAGCACCCGAAGGGACCACGAAAAAAGACATTAAATTAATTAACCAACGAAGAAGACAATCATCAAACGAAAAACCATACAAGTTGCTTTTTCATTTCAATCAATCCATGTACAAAGCACAAGTCCAAACTTGTGTTTACACTTTACAGGTCCCAGTGTGCCCTTTTTTTTGATATAGCATATTCAATAGGCAGAAGAATCAACTTTTTTACAATTCATGAAGAATTTGGGGGAGAGAAATAATTAAATATTTTGTCCATAAAGGCCCATTCTATACAACTTTACTAAGGTTGGACCACAACTCATCAAAATCAGACAGTGAGACACCTGGACCACATTTTGGGTTGCCCATGCTACCCAGCCCCAAATTTCTTTACACACACACACAGTCACACACTGAGGCAGAGAGTTGTAAAGGAAACTGTGAAATAAAACAATCCCATCCATAGAGGTAAAGGAAAATCCCCTGAACTTGAGATAGTATTATGTAACATTCCTAGCATTTTCAATAGAGAACTAAATATCACTGGATAATATACTAAGAAAAAAAACTAATATCTTTTTTACAATTGTGTGTATGAATGTGGAGGAACATCATGGAAATAAACAAAATAAAAAGGTTCCTAAAAAGTTCATTCAGAACGAAAATGAGAAGCAACATAACCCAATCCAATGACATCAAAATCACATGAAGGTCAAACCTCGTTATATTTGGATTCAAAGATGATAGCTTATTAATATTCAAGCTGAAACTTAATAATAATAAAAAATATTATTATTGAGTTGATAATTTTGTGTGTATGCATGAGGAGATACAAACATGGAAATACCAAAAAGTTCATTGCAACAAAATTTGATTCAGAACTTCATATGCCAAAAATGTGTATTCTAAATTCTGGCAAAAAGGGAAATTTCTAAAGAAAAAGAGAAAAATGAGGGCATCAAGCTTACCTTACACAGCTGCCTTCAGCTTGAAATGCATCAGGCTTTGATCCCAACTTCATAAACTTCATTTTCTTGTTTCTGAAATTGGCCTCTTCACTCCGCGGAAGAACTTGTACTACCCCCAATTTCACTCAAGAAACACAAATAACTAATGAGCAGGCAAGCGAGCTGCAAATTCTGGGAAAACTGAAACACGTTTACTGCATAAAAGGGACCAAAGCACCAAACTTTATCCATTCGCCACTCATCTTATTCTCACTACAATGCATTATGCATATAAGAATTTATGATATGATCACAGAACTGCAAACCAAACACAAGAAAACAAACTCATCAGCTGAAAAATTGCCTCGATTCTCGAGCCAACAAAACCAAGAAAAAATATATGGCTTTCTTTCTTTTTCCTCCTTATCTGCTTTTCTTACAAACAAATACATCACATTGATGATGATACATTGCCATTACTGTGAAACATTACTTCACAACTACCCTATAATTACACTCAGCCGCCATTGCTTTAACTCCTACTGATTTTCCAAGATCTCTTTTTTAACTCACAAATCTCAAGATCCCACCTGCCTTTTCTCTCTATATATACTTGTGTGTATGTATATGTGTGTCTTTATCTTTATATATTCGTATGTGTAGTCTGATGGGGGACTGAATATACTGATGAAGTTGTCGCTCTGCTTTTTCTGTATCCAGCAGAAGAGAGAAGCGTTGGTGTGTGTGCGTGCTGGGAGTTGGGAAGAAGAGAGGGATGGCATAGGGGGTGGGGTGGCGTGGGGTGGAGCAGTAGGGTCCGAGTGTGTGGTGTTGACAGAGTAGATCAGATAAAACTGGGAAGGAAATGTGCCTTTTCGAGAAGCTTTATGTTATGCCATTGATTCACGCCAACTATCTGTGGAGAGTTTTGCCATTCTGATTCTCTTTAGGTGATTTGAATATTCACATTTTTAATGGGGGAAAAATAATTAATTTTTATTATTTTAAAGTGAATAACTCATTTTAATTGCATATTTTAGGGACTAACAACTTTTTTTAATCACATTTTTCATCAATTTTTATATATATATTTACTAAAAATTTGATTTTAATCTCATCAAACAAGGGCTTATTTAAATTATGGGTAACTTCAACTCGAACTCGTCAACATTTCTTAAGTCTGTATCCTTAATCTACTATTTGTTACACTTATGTTCCCAATTTTTAAAAATGTACTATGCCCTTATTTAACCAAAAATGTCTATTGAAATAACAAATGACCAAGTGACGCTCTCCCAAGCCGGGAAATGGGTTAAAGTCGAGGGATAAGTTTTATGAATGTTTAGGAATTTCACCCTATTCAAATTTCTAAATAAAAGTTGAAATTATCGTTTGATTTGTTGAGCAATTTTACTTTTCAATATGATGTCGTCATTCAATGTTCAAATAAACATTTTTCATTAAAAAATGAACATTGGGGGTACATTTTTAAAAGATTGAAAATATGAGTGCAACAAATGGTAGGTTGGAGATATGGGTGCCACGCTTACAAAGAATTGAGGACCCCGATTGGAATTTAGCCTAAATGAAAATTATTAAAATGTTCACTACATTTAACCTATATATATAGATTAAATTTTTATTAGTCCAATATATAACGGACAATTAGAGTAGGACTTTCAAAACTTCCGGTGTGGAAATGACTTCATAATCGATTGTAGATTGGGTCCTCATGTGACGGAAATCAATGAAAGCAGTATTTAATGAATCATGCTAGTTGTACAGAATTGGTTCAGAGAATTCCTTCACAAATTACAGTTGGCATCAATTGATTGAAAGTTACAAAAAAAATAAAAATCAAATCAAGCAGATGCTACCAAATTAGCATTCGTCTAACATATGTGATGGAAAAGCATGTACATAAGGTTCTTTCCGTATTTAATAGGTTCGAAGTCGAACTCCTACTACTTTGAATACTGATATGCAATTTTTACAACACCCGAAATGTTGAAAAACATAATCCTAATTTTTCCAATAAATAAATTTGTGTAACTATAATACTTAAGATATTACAAAGCAATATTTGATGATTCACACAATTGTTTATGCGATTGTTTCATACAACTCAATTTATTGTGTAAGCTAAATTTCGACTACTGAACTTTCACTATTTAAAGGCATTATTTGTTTGATTCGTTGAATACTTATAGTGTTCACTCACAGCATCAAACAAAAAGACATTGATAGGCCAGGTCAACAATCAATTTCAAGATATCCTCCCAATTTTGTTCAATGATCAATCCAATAGATCATATCACAAGTTGACATAAAATAGGGAGTCAAACCACTGTACACAATATTAAGTTTTTACAAGAATGTATCATTGACAAGTTCGGTTACTCTTGGGTGACAATCCCCTTGACGTCCAGGGGGTTGTGTGGCACCCCCTGCATCCTTATTTACATCCATATGGATTTAAATTCAAAATTTGCTCCAATAAAAACATACAAATTTCCCTTTTCCCTCGTGTGGATGTAAAAAAAATGTAAATTACATCTTTTTGCATTTTCTTTGCATCATTTCATTAGAGAGGTTTCGGGCCATTTTAAAATTTTAAATCACAATTTAGATATATTTTATACTATGATTGGAGATGTTATTAGCCTAGCATTAAAAGTTTATCGATATAATTTATGTAACTTTTATTTCAACATGGTTCATGTTTATCCATGAATTAAGAAGCCTACATATGATAACTCGACAAGGAATAAAATTGAATAATGATAAGCAGTTTAGTGGTTAATTAAGTCATTGATTGATATATTAAATGTAAAAATATAATTTCTATTTAAAATGAAATATCGAAAATATGATTGGAATTTTTAAAATTTATACCAATCGTTTACGTGTTACGTAAAACTTTATCTTTGCACCAACTTTTGCAGCAATTTGTAAATCATAACTATGTAACATGTGCCATGTGAACTCTAGACAATTTTGCTGAGGGACATGCTTACCTAACAAAGTTAGACTTAACAGATGATATATAATAAATAATTATCTCTCAAAAAGTAATTAATTAGCAATATTCTTTAGTAAGATGATTGCCTAAAAGAATTATACTCTCATTAGATTTTTCAACTTAATATGAATATGTCATAACCAATAGTTGAATCGTGTACATCATGTTAAATGGTAAAAATAAATACGAATTTATTGGTTTTTAGTATTCGTGAAATATTTACTAAAGTATTTGTACTTTCTTAACAATTTTTGGTAAGATTTTATGTGCTTTGCATTCTCATTTCCTAATGCAAATTACATAGTACGAGAATATAATACTTATATGTTAACTCTTACTCTTTATAGACCTTTGAGAAATTGCTTATTCCCCATTGTAAAGTGGCTTAGTGAGTTGAATTGGTTATTGAGTTCCATAAAATAAAGTCTCATAAGAATTCTAGACTTCTTAATCTTGAGTTTAGTCGAGTAGTTAAGTTCTTTAGACATTTCGATAGTGTCCTCATTGGTTGACAAAATCAGTTGAGTCAAAATCACGCTCTCATCTAAGTGTGTCGATTAATTAGGTTATGGGCAACAAAAAAAAAAATCTAATATGGGATGATTAAACTCGTCAAGATATATCGATATATCTGAATATTGGGCCTTCATTAAAGTAGTCATCAATCAACAATTAAGTATGATGCATCTTTCATGCTACTTGTTTCATGAAACTTATCGTCCAAGTTTGATTTCTTTTTACGCACTACTTATAACAACGTGAAAAATGTAAAACTAATTATTGTAACTACAATTAAATCACAAAACCGATATAATAGCTTAATGGCAAATAGTACCTATATCAAATATAAAATGCTCCAAAAATAATCAATAAAAAATAAAAACACAAGAAAAAGAGTTGAGTTGCTAAATTAATTGTGAATGGTCCTTAGGGTGTAGTACTTGATAGCTATGTGGAGTATGAGTAGGGCACCTTACTTGGATTTTGGCACATCGAATCATGTGTACAAACCTAACTCTTGGAGACCACTTATTTTTCTCTCTATTTCTTGACCTAACCCTATCAATCTATTATCTTATAGTATTACCTAAAAGGGTGACCAAAATCTTATTCTTTTCTCTTACTTTAACGAAATTTATACTTTAAAATCCATGTTTGATATCAATTTTTTAAAATTTATTTTTCTTGAAACTCATTTTCAATCACACATTTTATAAGATTCACAACTTTTTAGCAACATATTTCATCAAAAAGTTATTAAAAATTTGATTTTTAGTGAAACCAAAAAGGGGGTAAATGAGTCGCTAATAAACATATTTTGTACTAATACATAACCAAGATAGGATAGTCTTAACAATTTAGACTTTAAATAGTTTACTAATGACATATTTAATGCTCGGTATTAAACAAGATAGGATAGTATTATGAATAAAATATTAATTTCTTTTTTAAAAGTTTGAATGTTAAACTCTACGACAAACTTGAGCAGGGTAACAAAGCAAGTTCAGGTATTTTTTACATAACAAAAATACTTGTCGTCGTTAACATTTTTGGTTGTAATAATTGTAAACTCATTCTCGGAAGAATCGATGATGCACAATAAAATTCAAGTTCGAAATTGAATCAATTCACGTAAAAACTTAACCTAAATAAATATATTTATTTATATCTCAACAAGGAATCTACTTATTGAACAAACTTTTTTGCACATAACATCCCGTACGCCGCACGTAGTAAATAATAGTCCCACTAAAGAAAAATGCATGTTATATCTAAATCAAGTGACCTCAAAAAGTGAGGCTTTGAGGAGACAATAATTGTATGAAATTAGGCGTGGGCATAAACCCATCATAGATTAATCATGATGGCGATCATGGGCCCCATGTTTTGATGAAAATGGGTCCCATATTTTGATGATGGTCAATAGAGGGTACCACATGCTTATATTGCTTTTCAATGTGGGGGGACTAAAATCAAGTGAATAAATGTTTGTCGAATATTTTGATTTTATGTCAAAGTAGTTGAGAGAGTAAAAAGAATTTACGATTCAACAATTTGATTCATGATTAACTCATTTTTCTTCTTCGCCGCGTTCATTAGCATGGATTCGTCATACTCTCCATGAACATATTTTGATGATGATCATAACAGGGTACCCGATGCTTATGTTACTTTTCAATGTGGGGTCTAAAATCAAGTAATAAATGTTTGTCGAACGTCTTGATTTCATGCTAAGAACAGTCGAGATAGTAAAAAGAACGTACAATTTAACAATTTGATTTATGATTGATTTTCTCTTTATCAATGTAAATTTATGTTTAACTTGTTTCTTTTTCTTCGTTTCATTTATCGGTGTGGGCTAGTCATACTTTCCACGAACGTATTTTGATGATGGGCAATGGAGGGAACCACATGCTTTTACAATGTGGGGGACCATATGGAT